CTTCTGAATATTGAATAATTTCTAGAGAAATTTAAAAAATACATTGAACTAAATAAAAATGAAAATACAGCATATCAAAATGTGTGGGATGCAGCTTAAAGTAGTGCTGATTTATAACATAACTACTTTAGAAAAGAATAAAGTGTCAAATCCATAATTGAAGCTCCCACTTTTAGGAACTAGAAAAAGAAGAGCAAAATAAGTGCAGAGCAAGCAACAGGAGGGAAATAGCAGAAGTCAACAAATTTGGAAAAAACAAACAATAGAGAAAAATCAGTGAGATAACAAGCTTGTTCTTTGGGGAAAAAAAAATCAGTAAAATTCACCTCTTAGCAACCCTTAAGAAAGCAGACATGAATTACTAATATCAGGAATGAAACAGGGTATCAACTGTAGAGTAGGACCTGCAGACATCAAAAAGATACGGAAACACTACAAACAACTGCACGCATAAAGTTGACAGCTTAGTGAAATTGGCCAATTCCTCAAAAAGTACAAACTACCATAACTTACCCAACATGAAATAGATAATTTGAATAGACTTATAGCTATTAAGGAAATTGAATTAATAATTTGAAAATTCTTATAAAAGAAATCTCCAGGCCCAGGTTGTTTCACTGGAGAAGTCTACAAAATGTTTTGGAAAGAATTAACATCAATTCTACACAATCTTATCTAGAAAATACAAGAGGAGAGAATACTTTCCTTCTTCACTCACTCATTATTATCCTGATGCTAAAACCAGGCAAAGATGGCACAAAAGTGGAAAACTACAGACTAAAGTCCCTCATGAATATAGTTGCAAAAGATGCAAAAATTCTTAACAAAATATTAGCAAGTAGAATTCATCAATATATTTACATATCAGGACTAAGTGGCAATCATTCCAGGGATACAAGGCTGATTCAGTATTCAAAAAATGCACTTGCACTAAGGCTGGAGAAGTAAAGTCACATGAGAACAGTTGATACAGTAAATAAAGCATTTAACAAGTTTCAGTACCTATTCATATTTCTGTTCCTAGATAAGTAGGAAACATATTGACTTCCTCAACGTGATTTTTTTTAAGTATATGAAAATCTAACATCATAGGGGCACCTGGGTGACTCAGTTGGTTGAGTGTCTGCCTTCAGCTCGGGTTGTGAACTCAGGGTCCTCCTGCCACTTGTGTGCATGCTCTCTCAAATAAATAAGCAAAATCTTATCAAAAAAAAAAATCCCAAGAAGTCTATAAGAAAAAAATCCTAGAACTAGAAATAATAGGTTTAGCAAGGTCACAGGATACATGATCAAAATCTCTTTGTCTCTATTACCAGTGAACACATAGAAATCAAAATTAAAATAGAGTGCCATGTTCAGTCACTCCAAAAAATGAAATATTTGGATATACAGGGTTTGTATGCTCAAAATTATAAAACACTGATGAAAGAAGGCAGAGATCTAGAGAAACAGACTTTGTTCTTACAGCAGAAGACTCAGCAAATGTCTTTTATCCTCACGTCAGTGTGCTAGTTTAACACAACTGCTAAACGATAGCTAAACAAGATTATTCTAAAATTTATATGGAAAGGCAAAGGAACTAGAATAAGAACAATTTTAAAATTAATAAAATGGTTACTATTACTATCCAATTTCAAGACGTTATATAATTACAGTAATCAAGATTGTGTGGCATTGGTGAAGGGAAAGATACCTAAGTCAGTGGAACAGAATAGGAACCCAGAAATAGCCTGACACAAGTATAACCAACTGATTTTTGATACCTGCAAAAGTAATTAAATAGAGGAAAGATAGTCTTTTCAAGAAACATTGCTGGAATTAGATATCCATAAGCAAAAACATGAACCTCAGCCTAAATCTCACATCTTATATGAAAACCAACTCAAAATGGGTTGTAGATTTAAATGTAAAACTTCTGGAAGATTAACATAGGAGAAACCTCTGGGAACTGGGGCTTGGTGAAGAAAAAAGCCAACAAACTAGACTTCCTTAAAATTAAAAACTTCTCCTGTCACAAAAGACCCTGTTAAGAGGATGAAAAAACAAACTATGGAACAAAATATTTGTAAGCTGCATATCTGAGAAAGGATTCCTGTCTTTCTAGAATATATCAAGAACTCCCAAAACCCAGCATAAAACCCAAATATTCCAGTTAGAAAATGGACCAAAAAATCGAGCAGACAGTTCACCGAAGAGGGAATATAGATGGCAAATAGCAAATAACACATGGAAAGATGTTCAACATCACTTGCCATTAGGGAAGTATAAACTAAGACCATGATGAGATACACTACACTCTTAATAGAACAGCTAAAATAAAAAATAGTAGTGATATCAAGTGCTGGTGAGGATAAGAAACTGGATCTCTCGATTGCATACATGGCTAGTGGAAATGTAAAATGGTAGAGCTGTTATGGAGCACAGTTTGGCAGTTCCTTGAAATACAAACATGCACTTACCGTATGGCCCAGCAGTTGCGCTGCTGGGCATTTATCCCAGAGAAATGAGAAGTTAATGAAAGAGAAATGAAAACCTGTTCGTGAAAATCGTTCATAGTAGCTTCATTGTAATAACTCCAAACAGAAACAACCAAAATGCCACTCGGTAGATAGTGGTTAAAAACCTGTAGGTCATCTGTATCATGGAATAGTACTCAGCGATAAATAGGAATGAGCTTGATAAATGCAACAGCTTGGGTGGGTTTCAAGAGCATCATGTTGAGTGAAAAAGGCCAGTCTTGGGGCTCCTGGGTGGCTCAGTGGTTAAGCGTCTGCCTTCGGCTCAGGTCATGATCCCAGGGCCCTGGGATTGAGCCCTACATCAGGCTCCCTGCTCAATGGGGAGCCTGCTTAACCTTCTCCCTCTGCTGCTCTCCCTGCTTGTGCTTTCTCTTGCTCTCTGTCAAATAAATAAGATCTTAAAAAAAAAAAAAAAGACCAATCTCAAAAGGCAGAAATTATATAATTCTATTTATATAACATTCTTGAAGTCACAATATGATAGAGACAAAAACAGATTGGCAGTTGTCAGGGGGGTAGGGACGGTGTGGGTGGAAGTAAGGGTAAATATTGGACTTAAAAAGGGGTGGCATGAAGGTAATCTTTGTGGTGATGGAGTAATTTTGTATCTTGATTGCAGTGGTATTTGCTTGAATGTGATAAAATAGCACAGAGCTATGTACACACTGTATCAGTGTGAGTACCCTGATTTTGATACTGTGCTGTAATTAGGTAAGATACAAGTGTGATTGGAGAGGACTAGGTGAAGAGTACACAGAACCTTTATGTCCTGTCTGCCCCTTCCTGGAAACCTAGGATTATTTCAAAATAAAAATGTTTTTAAAGAGAAACAACTTCAAAACACAACCTAAATGCAACGTAGGTTCAAACAAGCGGTAGTAAAATGTCCATTTTGGAGGTGTTCAGGGATGCTGACATCAGTATTTAGCACTCTGCTTGCACATTCAGGAAAAAAGGATGTTTGGTTACTGTACTTTTGTGTTTAACACAGTTATCGTGTCACAAAACTAGCAGGCTGCTCTAATAAACAACCAGTGCTCCTCTGTCCAGCACCAATCATCTCCTGTCTTTACCACCAAGCCCACTGACTTGTTAATCCAGGGGACATAAGGAAGCAAAGATCTCATGACTGAACATTATACAGCTTAGATCAGGCTTTTCCTCTGCGACATTTTCCTCCTGTTTCTGGACTTTCATCTACTCACAGGAATGTTCTACATGTGTGAACAAGGGATTGGTGTATGAATTCTCCCTGAAGTCATGTGACCACTGTGACACCAAGCAGGCAGTGGGGGTAGGGCCCCAGACCCTCGCCCGCACCAGTGCCGCACACGCTGAGCTCTTCAGTAGCACCATTTGGGGGAGCACCATTCTGATTTTCCTGTCAAGTATGGGTCATGTGTTGCCAGGCTCATTTCTTATAAATGTCCACTAATAAGTTAGGAGTGTTATTATTTAGGAAGCACTTACTAGATGCAAGACAGTGTTGTCAGAACTTTATTATCTCATCGAATTTTCTCAAAACACCTGGGATTGCACCGTCTTCCTCTCGCTCTGACAGTTGGGGACATGGGGTTAGAGGGGCTGTGGAAGTGCAGCAAGGCCCCCAGACTCCCATGGCTGGGGTTTGAGCCCAAGAACAGACTCTAGTGCCCACGTTACTAAGTGTATCCCACCATGCCTGTGTGTGTGCATGCATGTTCAGTGTTCAGGTCATTCACACTTAGGCCTCTGGGAATAACCTAATTGGTGGAGAACCCAGTTTCCTTTCTTAACTCACTGAGGCCTTGTTTAATACCAAATTTACTAGAAACTCTGGTTTTCTATCTAAGAGGGGCAGTACTGTCCAGCACTCTCTGGTTCTTGATATTTAGGTCTACATTTAAACAGTCTGGCCTTTCTATTAAAAAAAAAAAGACAAAATTATATAGAGTATGCATTGTTCCAGACAGCTGGGGAAAAAATTTTGGGTTTTTTTGTTTTTGTTTTTTTTTTAAGGCCCTGAGAATCTCTGTTTGTTTTATCTGGAAACTAAGGGCAGTAGTAGCAAAGCAAAAGTCAAGGTTTATTCTGGAGTAAATTGACTTGTTTATCTTATCTCTTAATTATGTCATTCTATTAATAAATGCCTGGTAGTAAGCAAAAATGTTTGTTGTTTATAGATGTAAATAAGTCCAGTCTTGTCCTTATCCACTGCAGTTGGGCAGACCCGAAAGATCACATTGCAAGATACATTATTGAAAATGTTACGAACACCTGCTTTTTAGACTTAAAGGCAAAGTTTTCAAGTCCAACGGAAATGATTAAGCAACTTATGTCTCTTATCTTGAATCTTTTATTTACAACATGGCATTTTTTTCCCAAGTTATTAGCATGCTTTTGCTTTTTGTACAGCTTGACATTTGTAATTACATGTGTAACATAATGGGTGCTATAAAGAGCTTTTGTAAATTGATCTAATTTCTTATCTCCTCTTTACAGGAATATATTAAAGGAATCTGTGAACCTGAACTAGAAGAAAGAGAATGTTACCCCAAGGCCATGCACTGCATTTTTGTTGGGGCCCAGAGCCTGTTTCTGAAGAGCTTGATTCAGGACACCTGTGCTGATCTTTGCATTCTGGACATTGGTCTTCTTGGCATCAGAGGAAGTGCCGAAGCTGTGGTCATGGCTAGGAGTCACATTCAGCAGTTTGTAAAACTCTTTGAGAATAATGAGAATCTACCCAACAGTCAGAAAGAATCTGAGGTGAAAAGGGAATTTAAACAATTTGTTGAAGCTCGTGCAGATAACTATACAATGGACTTGTTGATTTTGCCCACTTCCTTGAAAAAGGAGCTTTTGACACTCACACAAGGTGAGGAGAATTTATTTGAAATGGGAGATGATGATGTTATTGAAATTAGAGATTCTAAACAAGCAGAGTTTCCACAGGATGCTGCCACAGGGCTGAATATTTCCAGAGATGAAATTGTTTTGCAGGAAGATGCAAGAAATAAAGCTGGCACTCCTGTTTCTGAGCTTACAAAACAAATGGACACGGTCTTTTCTAGTTCACAAGATGTCCTTTTTGTTCCAATAAATGGTCTAACCCCAGATGAAGAGGCACTTTCCAAAGACAGAATTTGTCACAAAAGGAGATTTTCTGATTCTGAAGAAAGGCATACCAAGAAACAGTTTTCTCTGGAAAACGTTCAAGAGGGGGAGCTTCTACATGACGGTAAGACATTAGCTGCAAGTGTAATCATTGACTTATCTGATTCTTCTGCTGATCCTGAAAATTTAAGTCCAGATGTAAAGGACACTACTGAGGAAATGGAATACAACATCCTCGTAAACTTTTTTAAAACCATGGGCTACTCCCAAGAAATTGTTGAAAAGGTCATTAGGGAGTATGGGCCATCTACTGAACCATTATTGCTCTTAGAAGAAATTGAAAAAGAAAATAAAAGATTCCAAGAAGACAGAGAATTTTCACCTGGTACTGTGTATCCAGAGACCAACAGAACCAAAAACAAAGGTGTTTGTAGCAGCATAAATGAGCTTACAACGGATTCCACCCCAAAGAAAACACAAACTCACACACAGCAAAATGTGGTAGAAAAATTTTCTCAGTTACCATTCAAAGAATCAAAACCATGTACCTCAAATTGCAAAATTAATACTTTCAGAACAGTGCCAATAGAACAGAAACAAGAAATCTGGAGTTCAAACCAGAATTACGTTTCTAACATGGACCTTGAAACTGATGGCCTTTCACCCTCTGTTGTCCCTTCAAGTCCCAAAGAAGTTGTCAGTTTTGTTTCAAGAGGAGCTTCAAATCATCAGCCCAGAATTCCAGTTTTTCCTGAAAATGGTTTGCAGCAGCAAGCAGAGCCCTTACATCCAAGTAATATGAAGTCTGCCTGTGAAAACCGTTCAGGGTGTTGTAGCTCTCCCCAGTCTAAGCCAAATTGTCCACCGCTTTCTCCACCGATGCCACTGCCCCAGTTGTTACCTTCAGTTATTGACGCAAGGTTGGCCGGAATGTCTGATCATATTGATTCCTCAGTCACTGGCGTTCAAAGGTTCCGAGATACTCTGAAAGTACCTTACAAGCTGGAATTAAAAAATGAGCCAGGAAGAACGGATTTGAAGCACATTGTTATAGATGGGAGCAATGTCGCAATTACGTAAGTCCACTCTCTGCAAGTTACATTATAGTTGTAAATAGGGTCCTAAGCAGTGTCTCAGAATTACATGCAGTTGTAGGAACTTAGGCTATGCATCTGTCTAGTTGATCGATTTTCTTACCTGGGGAAAAAAAAAACACCACAAAACAGCTGTTTGGAAAGTTGTGTTATTCCATCTTCTGGAGTTGTAAACTTTGCTTTTCATCCTGCTGAACCTCTATTTCTGAGGACGAGAGATGATAGAAAATTTGTCTTCACTTTGCATTGCCTAGTCAGCGATAAACAGTACAGAGATTTTTAAATCATTAGCTTCTTTTTTTTTCTAATCATTAGGTTCTTAATACCATGAATGTCATTAGGTTCTGAATACAAGGATGCAGCTTAAAGCCAAAAAAGATTTTTCTGTCTCTTTATACTACAGTGTGTTAGGTCTCTAGGCAGGAGTGCAGTGATAATGGATGTGCTGTATTTTTGTTGTACTTTGTTGATAGAGTGATAGCAATTGCCTTTCTAAGGAAATTCATCAGTTTGAGCTTCTTTATGGTCCTCTGCTGCTACTAAAAGCTTGTATATTTGCTTTTAGTAAAAAAGAGTTAAATGATCATTTTTATTTAACCTGTCTTGGAACCCTCTGAAGAGTCTGATTTTATACATCTGGTACGGGATTGGATTTCTTCTCTAAGGGGTGGTTTAATACAGTGACTGTGAAGAGGAGAGGGGGTCAAGTTAGAGTATCTGCCCCATTGTTTGACCTCACGTAGGTTTTTGCCTGCTGAATTTCACTTGCTGTAATTTGTTGTCTTTTGCCCTGTCCTAAAGGGCATCTTTATCATGCCATTTCAACAACTGGTAGGTAAAGTCTCTCTCCAGTTTTCAAAATCAGTCACTCCGTTGATTTTGAAGAAGTTTGCACGGTCTGGCATTTTAAGTGGCTGTCATTTAAGAAAAGGGGCACCTGGACATGGGATGAAGATGGTGATACACTCTTCTGAATTTTAGTGAATAGTGTGTGTGACCTCTCTCCTAGGAATTCTATAAGTGTTATATATTTATTTTTTGTTTTGTTAATTTTTTACTAGAATTTTCAAACAAATACATTAAAAGGTAATAGAATGCATCCGTTTTTGAATTTGGGATTTCCGTGTGCCCATCCCCCACCTTCAGTAGTTCTCAGCTCATGGCCAGTCTTGTTGAGCCTATACCCCTTTTACTGGAGTTATTTTGAGGGAAAGCTCAGAGATGTCATTTTATCCATAAGTACTTTAATGTCTATTTTTTAAAATAAGGATGCTTTTTGTTTTTTGACTGAATTGTTGATACTGTATTTTGCTGTCAAAAGAAAGAAAAATCCCAGCATTCCCCATGTTAAAGTTTAAAGATAGGCTGGAAAAATATGTAGTATACTTGTCTTCATTTCTAAATAATACTGTTTGTTGTCATTTCACTTTGCTTTTTGGCAATTCTTTTCGGGGAAACCCAGCAAATGGCCCACAGCTGCATAGCATTATCTAAGTAAAAATGTAAAGTGCAGTTTCAGTCACCCACAGTCCAAGCCCAGCACCAGTTCCTCATTGTTATAATTTCTTGAGCCAAGTGGTGATATAAAATTTAGGTCATGATTGTGAGTAATATTAATCCTTTGTCAATTTCTATAAGTGCAGAGATGTCCCAAATTGGTGTTCAAGGACTAAGAAATGCAAATTAACATAGAATGAGCAGTGATGATGACACTATTTAAAAACCTTTTGGGAGTATAACGTATTTCTCAGAGGGGTCACTATTGAAATATAGAGTGGTACTGCCTGGGCATGACAGGATGTTTTGCATATTTAGTCCCTCCTACTTTGCCCATAGTACCTAACCCCGTCATTTTGACACCCCAAAACACTCCCACGTATTTCCTCACACCCTTGGGTACAGTGCCGTCTCTTTTGAAAACCACTGAATTAGTGCACTAAGGGAAACCACGAGCAAACTTTCATTACTTTTTCTTTTAAAAGCTGATTATCTGGGGAGGATTCCAATTTTCTTTGAATTCACAGATGTCTCAGTTTAAAAGCAACATTTATTTATAAGGATGTATTATCCAAAAAGACTTAATCTGATAAAGATTGATCTGAAAATACCAGTAACTAAAATTAACTCTTATTCTGGGGGAAAACTGCTTAATAGGTACAGGGTCTTATTTGAGAGTGATGGAAATGTTTTGGAACAAGATCTAAGTGCTGATTGTACAATACTGTGAATGTACTAAATGCCACTGAATTGTTCACTTTAAAATGATTATGTTATGTGAATTTCAACTCAGGTTTTTTAAATTTGGGAAAAAACCAACCCTTATTTGAAATTGCTTTGATAGTAAATGTGAATTATAGATTGTACATTCCATGAAGGAAGTGATTTATGTGTGTCCTGTTCACTGAAATACCCCCAAGGTCCATGGTGCTTGCACATGGTGGGCACTCAGTAACATTTTGTTGAATGAATGAATGCCCTAAAGACTTAAGAAATAGTAGGATTTTTAAAATGACTTTTCACCACTCTTTTATAACTTCCTATTCCAGTGATCAGTTTAGATTAAATTTTAACTGAGACATTTTTCAGCAATTATTTGGAATCTTAAAACTGAAACACCTGTCATGTGTCAGGTACTTTTCTCTTTTTAAATGTAATCTTCACACCGATTTGTGAGATAAAAATGTTCTATACTTTCATATAACATGAAATGGCTTAAAAATCTTGTCCAAGATTACACAGATAGGAGGTGTGGGCCCATAGGCTCCCAGAGCCATCATACGTCCTGCCTCCTCCCATAGAAGGTGAGGTTGGAATTTTCAGGCCTTGGCAATATAGAGTACTTAAGTCTTGAGTTGCTTAAGCATTGCTGAGTAAACCTCACTTATTTGACCCACGTAGTTGGGGAAGTAGTTAAAAATGAAATTTGAACCCTTTAACAATAGTATTTGTTGGTTTGATCCTGCTCAGCAGCTCAGACCTACCCATCCCTGGGTTTCTGCCAGTCCTTTATTATATTGGTCTATCTAGCGTGCTGTCTGCAATTCATACACACTGCGAGAAATTCCAAAATACCCACTTCATGCTGCTAATTATGCGTATCTTTACTTGGTTTTTCCCCTTGTCACCATGAATGAGTCAAATGATGAGTAAATGGAAATTGTTTGCGGTACACGGCTAGACATCACAGTAGTGGCTAGATAACACTCAGACTTGGTCAGTTTGAAACTTCAGCATTAGGACACCTGACTTATCTGGGTAGATAATTTTCCGTGTGGATGAGGTTTGCCCCTTCACTTGCCAGCGCTGTGTACTTTAACCATTTTTTTCATGCTAGTCTTCTCTATCAGGGTCCCATGGCTATTTTTATTAAGTGGAAACTATAGAAGGAAATTACTCTTTCCTGGGGTAACTCCAAAAGAGTTTTAACCATTTGCCCCCACACTGTTCGGTCTGGTTCTATCACTGCTGTGAGTTTTTAATGAAGTATCTGTTGCCCATCTCCTCTCTGCTTGGGACAGTCTACCTTCCAGTTTACTGCCTGCTATAATATGGAAAACAACCGGATGATGTAACTTGTTTCCAACTACATGAAACAGTAGTTTAAATCTCTCTAATCTCCCTTGAAAGCCCATACACTGGCCTCTCAGGCCTATTATCTGTTTGGAGCTGGAAGCCCCAGAGCTTTGGCCTTCCCAGAAGTAGAGGAGGAGTTACGGTATGTAAATCCTTTGTCTTTGAGTCTAAATAGACAGTTGGTCTGGGTCTACCTGTCAACAAGTTCCTCTGGCTTGCCTGCAGGGAGGTGAGGAGGCGCATTTCTGCCTAGCCAGGATGTGGGGGAATTGAAGTGGGAAGCAGCAGGGACCTTCGATATTACTTAGAGGACACGAACTTGGCTCCACTTGATTTTCTTGTGTAGTTCTATTTTCTGTCTAACTCTTAACTTTTCCACCAGAATTTTCAACTGCTCTTTTTATTCCTAAAACAGCTCTCGAGATTTTTCAGGGTATCCATAGTGATTTGATCTTATCACTGAGGATAACACTGGAAATTAGTATAGAGCTAATGTTTCTGGAAACGCCATTTCTTCCCATCTAAGTCTGAGCGTGGTACGAGGCAGCGGGATTGGATCTACTTGCATTCCCCTTCATTTTCCTCTGGGGCCCAGTGGGATGAAGCTGGGTTCCACCCACTTTGAACTGTTGCAGTCAAAGGCTTTATAGGGAGAGAAAAAGTTCGTACACATTTGTAGCTGATGAATAAGCCAAACTTGACAAGCTTTTTTAGTGCATTTCTCTCAAGGATTGTTCTTTTCAGACTTAACTAACATACATATCCCTTGGTTTTTTTTAAGAACCAGTAGGCTGTTGTATTTTGGATTTTCATGTTCAGGCTGTGGTTGACATTAACTCTGGGTGTGTTCTTACTGTTAAGCAATTAGAATGATTTTTAAAGATATTTTTAAAAGATGAGGCCTACAAAAACTACCTCTAGCCTTTCTCCAGTAACAGATGTCCTGTTGCTACATTCTTGCCATATTTTGAATGCTTTTAGATAAACAAACCACTGCTGAGTTACTTCATCGAGAAGGGTTTACTTGCATGTGTTTTTGGAGCAAAGCTGATGCCCGTGCACTCTCTTATTTGTGGCTCACTGAGAAGAGCGTGAGGCACTTTTAAGAGGCACTTTAGCCTCTTAAAGGAGGAGTTTCTGAGCTGCTCTTCTGCGTGTTAGAAGTTTCTTGAATGTCCAGGCCATTCCGGCTTCATGAGACTATAGATTTAGGTGGGGACAGTCCCACTGTGGGATGGTAGGAAGGGCGCTGGCCCAGGAAGAAGGAAGCCTGAATAATCCCAGCGCAACCACCCTGTGGCAGTGCAGCCTGGGAAAATTGCTCAGCCTCTCAGGGCTTTCGTTCTTTTTATCTAACAGGAATCTAACTCCGTTCCATCTCCTAAATTCTGTCATTCCAGTGGACAGTACAGGATAGCAAGACAGGAAAGAGGAGAGATGATCAAGGGCCTGTTTCTAGAAATGGCTTCATAGAAGAGGGTCTGAATTGAGTCCCGAGGCACTGGAGGAAGGTTAAGAGAAGGTGTACAAAGATTGCAGCAAGAAGAAAGCTCACTGCCCAGGAAGAGGGAGATGGCAAGCAAACGTGGCCAGAAACGAGTGTGGTGACACATGGTGGTGGCTAGATCCCTCCTGACTAGTCTGGTGTGGAGGGGACCTTGAAGCCGTGCCCTGAGTTTGTCGAGAGGAATACTGCCACTAAAGACCCTGACCAGGATCAGAGGCCTCATGGCTGCATTTCAGGGTCTAACTGGAGTTTGAGGAGGGATGGGGATTGGGAGAGCCTGGGGTTGACTTGGGACACATTGTGCCTGAGGTGGCAGGAATTTTAAGTGAAGGAATTCTCCACCAGGTGGTTTTGACATGGAGACACGAGACATGAAGAGAAGACAGGACTGAAGATGCAGGATTTCCTGTCACTGGAACCTAAGTGACTGTTGAAATAGTGAAGATAGATTATGCTCATTTCATAAACTGTAGCTTCAAAGTTTGGGGGATTTGATTTTTTTTTTTTCCTTTCTAATACTCATGGTTAGGCAAATGGATTACCACCTACAAAAAATGTCAAACCTTGAAAACCCTTTTTTAAAAATCTCCACTTTTACTTAACTGCGGGAGAATACAATTTAAATATTTTTTCTTGTTTCTTTTGAAATTTGTTACCACACTTTTGGGTGGGGTCAGTTTTTAATCCACTATACCACGGGTTGTGAACTGTGGGCCAAATCTGGCCACCACCTGTTTTTGTAAATAAGGAACACAGCCACCCTCATTCATTTCTACTTAGACTTGAGTGGTGCGGCAGAGACCATATGGCCTGCAAGGCCTATCTGGCCCTTTACAGAAAATCATATCCTGACTTAAGTTCTGTAATGTTCCTTGTTTGTTTGCATCTGCTCCCGGCACTTTCTGCTTCCTTCAGTAAAATCATCTGCCATGGCCCCCAGTTAGTTCCACTGGAATCATGTCCTCAACTTTTCTCCGGGAAGCTGTAAACTGAGTAGGTTTCACAGTTCCCTAGAAAGGGTATGGAGCCCTGGAGCTGGAGGCATCTGCAGCCTTTGGAAGTTGTGAGGACCGTGTCATCGGAGAGTCCTGTCTACTCCTGCTTCAGCAACAAGTTTCTTTTTTTCTGTTTTTAAAGATTGTATTGAGAGGGAGAGAGCACAGGCAGGGGGAGCAGCAGAGGGAGAGGGAGAAGCAGGCTCCCTGCTGACGCAGGTCTTGATCCCAGGATCCGGGATCATGACCTGAGCTGAAGGCAGACGCCCTACTGACTGAGCCACCCAGGTACCCCCAGCAACAAGTTTCTTAATAAAATATTCTTAGAGGTCAGTGACCAGGCAGGACTCTTTGGAATGGGCTCTCTAAAAAAAACAAAAACAGAAATAAAAAGTGCAATAAACAAGTATTACCATGAAGCTCAAACTGCCTTCTGTCCCAATAGCACATTCAATTAAATTAACTAAACAAAGTACAAGAAAAATCATAAAGCTATTAGGAATCACATGTCATGCAAAGGCTTCTGTCTTGGCTTTGCAAAGTCATAAACTATGCAACTTGATGCCAAAGAATGTAAAAGTATTAAAAGGGAATTTTGTTGTAATTGTTTTTGTTGTATATGGAGTTCACGTTTTCACTTTTTCATGGTGAAACTTCAACATACTTTAAGCTGAAATAAGTTTTGTTTTCTTTTAGCCACGGTCTGAAAAAGTTCTTTTCTTGTCGTGGAATTGCAATTGCAGTTGAATATTTTTGGAAGCTTGGCAACAGAAACATCACTGTATTTGTCCCACAGTGGAGAACAAGACGTGATCCTAATGTCACAGGTGAGGCAAACTGATCCTTTCAGATTTCTCCTTTTCTGGATGTTTAATGAGTTGGCTTATAATTGCAACACATATTACTTGAGCAGAGCCATGTGCCTTAGGCGGCAGTTTTAAAAGCAAAATGGTAAATCTTTTGCACCCGGTAGAACATAAGTTGGAGTGTGTTACAGCATAAGAAGTACTCGGGGGAAGGATGGAAAGGTAACACATAGTTGTTTATATGGAAAGTTATGTTAGAGTTCATTATACATTACGAAAATTTTCCTGACTTTCCAAAAAGTAGGTTAAATCTGTCTTTCCATTAGTCTGGGCTTCTGCCTCATTAGTCTTTTCTAAAATGGTCACTTGATAAATTTGGGAACCCCCATATAGAGTGGGTTTTGAGCAGTCTGTTTAATAGCTTAATATAAATTATGTCTGTTAATCGTGCGGTACTGCATGATTGACTGCAGGCCACATATGAGAGCTTTGAACTTAGCGCATCGTGCAGTCGTCCAAAGAACCGTAAGGTTGTTTCTTAGGTCACAGTAGGAGGAGTGGTGAGACTGTACCAGGCAGCTTAGCACAGCAGCCGGCCTAGACACAAAAGGTAGTGTGGGAGGAGGAGGGTGAGTTCAGAGCTCACCCAGAACTTAAACAGGAAGTGAAACTTACTCACTGTTGAGGTGGAAATGGTAAGACCACACATTTCTCAAGTATCCCAACTTCCCTCATTTTGGAGAGCGAATTTATCTTTTTTTTTTTTTAAGATTTTATTTATTTATTTGACAGAGAGAGACAGCGAGAGAGGGAACACAAGCAGGGGGAGTGGGAGAGGGAGAAGCAGGCTTCCCGCAGAGCAGGGAGCCCGATGTGGGGCTCGATCCCAGGACCCTGGGATCATGACTTGAGCTGAAGGCAGGTCCTTAATGACTGAGCCACCCAGGCGCCCCTGGAGAGCGTATTTGTCTTAACCGAGGGTGCTTGAGGACTGAGGCAGAGCCACTAATTTTTGCAGTAGGATCTTTGAGAGGGTCTTGTGATCCCTCCTGTGAGCCCTCCATGCTGTGCATCTCTAGGACAGTAAAACACTGGGGCGGCGGGGGGGGGAGGGGGGGCTCAGTCTAAGCCAGTGGTGAGTACCGTTGCAGGGGATACTCTCTTACCCTGAGCATTTAGCTGCTTTTTGCCCATTGACAGGTTTTCTGAAGTTTGGCTTTGACCCTCTTTTCTTCTCTGTCATGACCCACTCCCATGAAAATCAGTATAGGTTCATGCAGATAACAGAGAGGTTGGATACAGTGCCAGCTAGAGGGATATTTTGACATACTCTTGGAATGGGGTCCACACAGGCCTTCCTTGGGATGGGGCAGAGCTGAGTGCCCCTGCCACTTCCTCTGTTTCCTGCCCCACCCCCACCCTCTTTCTGGGACTTGTGTCTTCAGTCTCTCTGCCCTACTGCTTGTGATGTGAGTGTGAAAACGTTCTGGATGGTAGAGTTCATTAAATACAGGTTTATGGCTTACCCTTAATTTCAGGAGCAAATGAGTTGAACTTTTTTATATTTAAAAAAATAGCTAAGATCAGTTTTTATGTTGTATTTGCCTTAGTATGTATGTTGCTTGATTTTTTTTTTTTTTTCTTCCCAATGAGTTAGTCTTCCTGAGTCAGTAAAGGTTTTCCTAACTCTCCAAGTGAAACATTTGGGGGTACTTTTATTTATTTAAACATCTGGGAGGATAGCCTCTTTCTGAATGTGTATTCAACTTATTCCATGAACAGAACAGCACTTCTTAACCCAGCTCCAGGAGCTTGGAATATTATCTTTAACTCCTGCCCGGATGGTCTTTGGAGAAAGAATTGCTTCTCATGATGACAGGTATGAAAGGCTGTTTTCCTTCCTGAGGTGGGTGCGGGGTGCTGAGGAGCCCACCACCTGCTCCATTAGACAGTTTGTGGTGCTCCTGGATCCCCATGCATAAAGGGCTTAATAGATCAAGGGGTTTGAGAATTTTAATATTTATGGTCACTAAGGTTATATACTCAGTGGGTTATTTTTTTGCTATATGGGTTTAGGAACGTTACCTAAAATCTGTTTGGTTAGAATGTTTGTTTATTTGTTTGTTTCTTAGTAAAACATGACTGAGAATCCATAAGTAAAGCAGACATTGAGTTCTCTTTTTTGATGCATAAAAGTAATGTTCAAGTAAAGTTTGTCTTGTCTTAGTGTGGCAGCCTCAAGAATGCTTTTCAAACATCTATCTCCTCCTGGTTGATTTTGGCCAGTGACTTAGTTTGTTACTGTCATACCTGAGCCCTCAGTATTTCTTCCACGTAATAAAAGATGGTCTCAGCTGACCCAGAGTGTGATAGGAGTAAGCTGCATTTCTTAGGTTGGTGTGTCACTCAGAAAGCAGGTGTTAGTGCATTGGAGACAGTAGGCTTTAATCTGCACCTTTTACATTTTTTTCTAAAAGCTTTACTGAGCACCAACCAAGTGCAATGCACAGAGCTAGGCTCTGGGAACACACATGATTCAGACACATTCCCTGCTGTAAGGAGTTTGTGATCTAAAGAAGAAGGCACACAAATAAATAATAGGGGGAGTTCTGTTGTGATTGAATAAGGGAAGGTCCTGAGTATGACCAGCGGCATGACAGCCAGTTTTTCAAACCCTTCTCTTTGGAGGGAAGCCAGTAGTAGCAACCCTACCAGTATCTGAGAACCTAAGTAGTGGTCACTTTTTCTTTCCACTCCTGCATTCACCCCCTTTATGGTGTTCTGGCCTGAAGCTCTTAGAATGTGCTGGTGGTTTTGCCTCAGTATTCCGCCAAAATGGTCCCCCCACACTGAAGACAGTGCTTTTGGCTTATAACCCAAACTAGTGAGTGATAGATGAGTGAAAGATGAAAAGAGGGGCCTGGGTTGGGGGGGGCAGATTTGGGATGACAGACATTCCTTCAGCAAAAGGTCCACAGGGCCTTCTCCTTGCCAGCCCCTTGCCCTTCTCCAGGCTGGAATGAGAGATCAGATCAGATGGGGAGAATCAGAGGTGATGTGAGAGAAGAGCGTGAGAGGAAGTGGAAGGAGAACAGCACGTCAGGGTGGGGCAGGGCTGAGGAAGTACTGGGAGACCAGTCCCAGTCCTCTCTGTGATACTGGCCTCAGACCCTGCAGTACTCGGGTGGAGGGGCAGGAGGGCTGCTGGGTTTGAGAAGAACCTTCAGATCTCTTAACACTATAGCTGCACACCTGCAGAATTTCAAGGCATGTGCAAGTATGCAGACTAAATAAGCTTGTGCTTAATTTATATGACTCTGGGGTTTTAGCAGACCTGGATCTATGTCTTGATTCACAGTACACGCACTCAGAATACCTTACTATTTTTGTTAGTACCTCTGAGCAAACCTCACCACTTACAAGTCATGCCAGCTGGGAATAGTTTATAAAATATTCATTAATAAATCAAAACGTTAATTCATACTTTCCAAGGCATCCTAAGACCTCTGAAACTAATGAGGCTTGTTTTTTAATTCCTTTGAAGTATTCACTATCACTAATAAAAGCAGTTGTTTGCACCTTCGATTCTAGTGATTCTCTTAATGTATTGTTTTGTTGTCTTTGTCTACTTTGCCTTAGACAAATGCAGTCACCCTAAGGGAGAAAACTCAACATTATTATCCTCACAAATCTCTCATTAAGAGGGTTTGAGCGTGAATAATCTCCAGCGATGAACTAGAATTGTCAGTATTGAATTCTTACCCTTCCGTATCACCAGTGCAGCTTCTCATAAATGGCATTCGAGTGGATCTATAACTGGGGCTAAACAGAATGATAGTTCTAGACATCTCAAGTCCGAGCCAAAGATGTGAACCTGTGGGTTTTTGTTTTTGTTTTTTGTTGCAAGGCTGACTGTACCAAGCAGCTAATCTTAGAACCAGAGTACTGTAGCTTAGCAACAAAACTTGAATAGTGATTTTACAGGCTTGTCAACTTGAATTTATTCTCGACTTTAGTCCTCATGCATCATCTGATGACCACTATCTATGATAATACAACTTTTCTAGGAAAATGTGTAAATTGTGGTTGAGATCATTTTTAAAAACAGAATATTGTATAAAAACCAAACCTTCATTTATAATCACTAATAATTTCAGAGGTATTCAGTATTTCAGATTGATCTTCAGCTGACAAGGGCTACATCTTAACTAGCCATAGTTAAATTCTTTGGTGATTTTCCTGTGAAGAGGAAATCCTTCTGTTTTCTTATAACATAGCTTCTGTAAGCCAGGAATGCCTGCTTGCCCATTTTAACCTCTTATATTACTATAGGTTTCTACTACACTTAGCGGACAAAACTGGTGGCATAATTGTAACAAATGATAACTTCAGAGAATTTGTGACTGAGTCACTCTCTTGGAGAGAAATTATTACAAAAAGGTAATATTTTCTTCTTTGTCTTTGGCTAAGTGTTTTTTGTTGTTTATTGTTTGGTTTTGTTTGGTGTTCACCTTGGCCCTGCAGAAAGCAGTATAGGGAACCAAAGTATCATAAGACCGTCCTCCCCGTCCAAGACTATGGCTGGCCCCTCTAGGTAAGTGGGGGGGTCCCAGTACAAAGCTGCAAAACCAGTGGGTGATGTATGGGCATGCTGTAGTGGCTGCAGGGTGTCTTCGAGAGATCCTGTGTTCCCTGACAGGAGGCAAGAGGCACATGTTTATGACGTAGTTAACTCTTGTTAACAGTGTAGTGGAGCAGAAATTGCCTCCTAACTTGGCTTTGCCCTGATGCCAGGGGAGACTTTGGCAACTCACTAGGCATCCGTGCTTGATTCAGCCATGAAATACGAAGGGTGGGTTTAATGACAGCACTGTGATTCCAGTAAGCGGATGGAACCAAAATCAACCTGCTGATTGAGTCCCAGTCCACTTCTTGGGAGTGGGAAGAGTATTTGTGCTTTTCAATCTGTGATGCTTTTCTTGACCGTTTACCATCATAGTTTAATCATATATATTGAAAACGTGTTTGAATATCATCCAGAATAGTCAACAGTTGAGCATTCACAGATGTGTTTTATTTGTGATGATACTCTGAATGTGTCCACCTGCCTGAAGATCAGTGAACACTGGCTTCCAGGACTTCTTGTTAACAAGCATCATCTGATCAAGTTACCTAACAGCAACAGTCTGTGATGGCGCCAGGGAGGACTGTATGCCACAAATCTAAAAACAACTCAGCATACCTCGAGCTGTGTATAAGTAGTATGTAACAGGTATAACTGGATATTTACCTCTCTTGGGGTTCAGAGTTGCCCCTTGTCTGATACTTGTACTTTGCTAAATCATTAGAGGATTTTAGAAAATAATTCTTTGCTGTAAGTGCCCAGGTGTGAGTTAATGACTCTGTGCATTTTGACTCACATGCTGTTAATAAGCTGTTGGTGAGAGCTGAACTGAGAATTGGTCTTTGACCTTCTGGGCACAGTTAACAAGCCATTAATCTTCTAGGACATGTTTCTGTTGGATCTTTGCCCTGGACTCATTGTCAGTATTTATTGGACACTCATCTGTGTATGAAAGGTCTAAATGCAGTCAGGACTCATGTTTCTATACCAACCCATTGCTTTCAGAACTCACAAAACAAGGCAGAAACCAAGGTCTAGACAACAAAGGGTGGGTTGTCCTGAAGCACTTGACCTTTTTTTTTTTTTTACATCTTGCCCATATTTACTAAATCATGCTGAACTGATCTCAGATTTTCTGTCCTCATAGATCATATTGTTGTTTTAAGAGGTTTTCTTCAGTGGGTTTGCCTGTAGACACAACTATTCAAAACAAAAATAAAACCTTTGTTGAGCCCCTGTTGTGTCCTAAGCTGACAGTCTTTAAATCTTGTTTTCAAAGTTGTATTAGGAGAAGCTGCTTCCTAAGCCCAGATAAAAAAAAATCTGTAAGTCTCAATAAGAAATGTGAGGGCCAACTGATAAAAGTTTCCTACTTTATTGAATTTGTATCCAAGAGAGAAATTCAGATGGTTTAACTTGGATGTTGTTTTTTTCCGTTAGGCAATTAAGCAGCCTTATAATTTTATAGGTGACTGTTGCCCTGGAATTAGGTGGCCACTGCTGCTTTGTTCTCAGTTCCTGCAACAATAAAAGCTTCATCATTTCTCCAGCATTGTAATCATACTCTGTGTTGTAGATTGCTTCAGTATACCTTCGTTGGGGACATATTTATGGTTCCTGATGACCCTCTGGGAAGAAGCGGACCTCGATTAGAAGACTTTCTTCGGAAGGAAGTCTTCCTTAGGTATTTGCTTTTTCACATTGTTTTGTATTTACAGACTTGTTTCAGGTCTTTGTGCTTTAGTGTAAGTGATGTCTCTGAAGGACTAAAGATGGCACTTTTTTAAAATTTTTATTAGCCTTAGACTTAGTGCTGGTGTAATATATTTGAAAACTAATCAAGCACGCACCTTAAAGACCAGATCTTCATTTGTGGTCCTTTTGGTTTTAATCCTAGGAGAGGATGGGAGCCAAACTTTCTGTAGGTCTAAAAAATAAGCAGATTTTGCTGGCTCTCACTTATTAGCATATGCCACTTAGGTTCGTTTTGTACATGTGAATATCCTTCTATATTCATTTTCCAAAATCATTTGCTTTTTTAATTTGTTATGCTCCTATTAATTTACTTCCTATTCAGGAATCACTACCTGGGGAACTGACTCTTTATCTCCACTGAATGGAGAAGCCACTATTTCATATTCATCTGAAATTGATTTGATAGTTTAGGTTTTCTTTGTTGTAGTTTGGGTTTTTGTTTTGTTTTTTTAAAGATATGTTGCTAGTGGTTGTTTCTGTTTTCAGAATTCTTGGGTAATGGACATTGTTAACTAGAGTATCTGTGTGCCCAGCTGGCAGACAGTATGACCCAGTGACAGCTGACCTGTTTTATTTATAACCGGATCCCTTCGGGGTTCTAGGTTTGGATTTGGGGGTAGTTCACACAGAGGTACTTCTACAGAGGAGACCAGCGAGATTTCAGCTCCCTGGTCTTAGAAATCATTTCTTAAAGACCTGGTGCCTGTGTGTAAGCATCAAGGCCCATGGGTCAGACTTAATGGAAAGAGAGTTTTCTGGCTCCTTCCACACCTCAGCAGCCTGGCAGCAGGGTCCATCCTGCCTGCACACCTAATCTCTCTTTACAATGTGTTAACTAATTGAGTAAGAAGTTAATAATAACCCCTCACAGAGGGTCTAACTTCGGAATTCCAGTTAGTTAAGCTTTTGAAGTTGGGAAAAGTGTTCAGCCAGCCCATTTCTCGCCTGCAAGTCCAAGTCACCTGGGAAGCTTCTTACCGAGACACATGCCCTTTACACACACACCCACACCCATGAGCATTATAGGTTGTGGGCGCCAGCACCTCTCCCAGACACATGCCCTTTAAACATA